TGTTCGTCTTTTCTCTCAAAAATCCCCAGCCCCTGTTCCTCCCTCCTTCAATTTCTTCAATTTTTCACTCAAAAATCCAGCCACTGTTGCCACCCCCCTCTGCAATCATCTCCATCTCCTTCTTCACCCCTTTTGCAATCGTCTCGCGCCGCCGACCCAACTCTACTGCTGCAATTCATCATCTCCGGTAAGTGCTTTGTTGGATCTCTTCTTTTTTTTTTTTAGTTTTCAATGTAAATTTCTCAAGATGAAATTGATGGGAACAACTGCGATTCCTTCAATTTTTCACTCAAAAACCCAGTCCCTGCTGTCAGCCCCTCTGCAATCATCTCCATCTCCTTTTTCATAAACCAGAAACGAAATTCATTGAAGAGAAAATCTTTACTTTTTTGATTCTTGTTTCTATTTTATTGCTTCTCTATTTTGTTGCATAAAGCGAAGCAATTGCTGGATTTCCTTTGCATAAATTTAGGGAAATGCTATTTTTAGAGTAAGTTTTGGATGGTACTTATTCCTATCATTTCCAGAATTGTGGTCCTTTGCTTTTTTTCCTACAATCCTCATAATTTGTTTGGCACTTTGTTCATATCGGAGATGATGAAGATGATTGCAGAAGTGGCGTAAAGAAGATGGAGATGAGTGCAGAAGGGGCGAAGAACTGGGGGCTGAAATCAAGAAACGACGTTGTTTTTGGTTTAGACTCTAATTTTTTTTTTAAGGTAGGACTAATCCGCACTTCCCTGAATATTAATCGTGAGAGGAAAAGTTCGTGTAACTCAAGTAACTATCTATATATTATAAAATTTAATTTTATATTAATGATAGGTGTAAGATACAAGCCCGATCCACGTGTTGAAAAAATTATTAATTATGAGAGGAAGGGAAAATATTAAAATAATAAAGGAGAAAGAAGGAAAAGAACGATGTGGACCCGCCATACCGTGCTACCATGGCCCACCAATTGTAGTGTGGGGCTGAATCCGACTCAAATTTTATCCATAATGACTCAATGTGCCGCCGCATCCTCGGGAAGGCATCCAACGGGAACCACGGGGCATTGAACAAGTCGTCCCTTCCTATCCAATCCATCGCGGAAATCCTGGACTCATTCACGTGCGTCTGAGGTGTATACCACCCCCCATCCATGACCTCGCTCCCGCCCTTCATCTACCACCGTTGATTTTATACTCCATTTTACAAATTTGCTCCTAAATTAGTGGACCTGCGGTGGAGTCTCATTTTGTATGTTGTTTTTTTTTTTTTTAACTTCATTTTGTATGTTGTTTTATTGTTCAAAGAAAACATTTTT